TGAAGTCTGAGCAACCTGTGGTATGCGAGGTGTCCTTGCTGCCTGCCTAATTACAGGGTACTATCACAAGCACGAGCCATTGACTACAGCAAATTGCATTAGCTGTGGGTGTAGCTCACAAACTTGCAGTTTTCCAAAAGATGAGTAAGCTCTAAAGCACTGGCCTGGTGATGACCTAGGAACATCATGCAGGAGGGAGGGAGCTGCCAAATTCCTCTGCTCCATGCTGTGATGAGATGAAGCCTTATATTTCCAGGGCATCTGACTAAGGAAGCTGCAGGTCCTGGCCACAGTTCAACTTGACAACTGTAACTTCTCCCTGCACTCAAGTTCCCACTCTTATCCTCTATCCTGACAGGCACTAAGAGCCAGTAAGAGAGGCCAAGCTAGTAAGCTCTCCTGAATAGTAACATGATCCTAATGTACGTGAGTATTGACTTTTGGAGGAAACAGAGCATCAAAAGACAGGTGACCTTGCAGGCCTTCAGTGACATCTAACTAATTAAATTTTTTTGTGGATTGTATATGAAGTAAAACTCTTCTGCTGTCCAAAAGCTGCGTCAGAAAAGCTTCAAGGAGTTGTTTGCCTTCTCAGAAGGAATGTGCCAACTCCCTGGTTTCTCCTGGGGTCACAAAGTAAAATTGTCCAAATTGTTTACTTACTGAATTTCAAAAGACAAGCTACGCAGTGTGAAAACTAATATTTGTTGTGACTCAAATGATCTCAGACTATTCACTAGCCATGATGCATGTCAGTGTGTGTTATGATACAGCTAGAGGGCCTCATGCTTCCTTGCTTCTCCTGTGACTGAGCAGGTAGGAGGACAGGCAGGAGTTGCAGTCTCCACCCCTGCTTCCCCAGCAGGTCACCACATTTGTGCCAGCATGTTCAAGTGTCCACTGTTGCAGTGTCACTGAAATGGGGAATAAAAAACCAACTCTTAACACCAAGGTGGCATTAAGAAGCAGGCATCCTTTATTTGACATCGGATGCACGGCAGTTAAATCTGTCCATACACACACAACTAGTGCCACTTTTCTTGGCATATTTATACACAAGTTTCAGGATTACATAATCTAAATTACAGTGATTGGTAGTAATTTAAATATAATTCTAATACATTGAAGTATCTGCTGAATCAAACTATGCTTGCGTCCAAGGGGTCTTTTGGTGGTCCCTTATGGTTTTGAAGAGGCACTCTTACTGTCCTTTCCATGAACTCTTGAGTCTTTCACCCATATATGTTCCTTTCCTGGATTGTGACTTTATTTGTGGATTTCTCAGCTTCCTTACCTTGGTCTCAACTGGTGTTCTGCATGTTTATCTGTAGTCCTTCAGAAGGTACTAGGATGTATCAGCCACAGTTACAAAAATCATGTCCTTGAGTGCATTTTTGCTTGGGGCCCCTTATAACAACAGTGTGCCCTCTCTTTGCTGCATGGTCCTTTCAGAGCAACAGTGCTGCAGAGGCACAGTCAAGTCAAAATGAACAGTAGTAGTAATCTCTGCTTTTGCAGAATGATTTAGCCATTTGCTGCTCATTTCCACACTAATCCTGATCCTCACTTGAACTCTGCTCATAGTCTTGGCTTTCCTTGCTGTTGAGAGCATCTGCTGCACATAGGACAGCTCTGTGAACATCTGGGAAGGAGGAAAGTCTCTGAGCTGAATGCTTGGGCACCCCTACCCTAAGTGTCTTTTTCAAACTCTGGACATAAATACTTAATGTGGTTGGTGGATCTATGCACAGCAGAGCGAACTTAAATTGTACAGATATGTTAGAGTTGCTCACATACGTTGGGTGAAGCTATCCTCATTTTGGGGGAGTAAGAAATGCGATGACAGAGAATAGGTAGGTGCTGTGTTTTGCAGGACATGTCTAGTATGAGAGAGAAATCTACCCCTTGCCCCATGCAGTCACTGCTCAACACTGCCCCGCTGAGGCTTTCAAAGAAATGAGCCCAATTAAGTGATGAAATTTGCCGTTTTCCTAGCGCAAGGAGGAACAAAACATGGAAAGGGTGTATTCAAGGGACCAGCTTGCTCATGAGGCATTGCCAGACCATTTCTTGCTTTCCTGCTCCTTCCAACATCTGTCTGAAACCTGGAGGGAAGCAGATGAATATGTCTGACACACTTTGGAGCTGAGAGGCCAGGGTGGGATGTGCTATTTCTTAGTGTTTAGGAGAGGTCTACGAGTGGAAAGAAGGCAGCTGCTGGGAGTTCAGTCTTGGTGTGAGAAGCAGCTGTGGATGGGATTAAGAAAGCTAATTCAGAGAGGACACCCCTTTTCCCAATGTCAAGTGTGTTTATAGCCCAGAACATTGAGCATCTCAGCTGGGAGCTACTCTCATCCCTGTGTGGTGATGGCTGGACCTCTTGTCTCTGACTTCTAGCCTCTCATACTGACCCATTCTTGTACGTGAATGAGCACCACAACCTTCTAAAACATCAAAAAACCTGATGCCATCTGGTTCAGATAGCAGCAGCAGCCTATCTATTTAGGAACAGTAGCTGCCAGGACTGTGTTACCCTTCCACATACTCTTTGGTGTGCGGACTCTGGAGAATGTTGTGGCTCAGATTTCAAAAAGTATTCTGTTTTGCTTGGCCGGTAAATATTGTAATGATGAATGAAACTCCAGACTCTGGAAACTGAAACTAAATGGCTCAGACCCAGAAGATGCAATCAGAAGTGCTTTCTCTTGTTCCTATGTAGAAAGAGTTGGATTCATTGGAAGGGGGGGTGAGGGAGAGAAGAAAACAGGAAAAAAAAAATTACGAGTTCCTGATAAAAATAGGACATAGGTTTACAGAAAAAACAGGTGAACTGTACAGTGAGATAACAGGTGACATAAAAGGCATTTTCAATTACAACAGATTCTCATACATGCATACTTAAAAAGACATCACATATCTGCTGATATCTATAGGCTTCACCTAGGTTTTATTATTGTGGATGTCTTTGCCTTCAATACCTTTTGTATGTGTTTTAATTTCCTTTTGTTTCAGGGGTGCCTATGCCTTAAGTCAAAATAGTATAGATTGTCTCAGAATAGTTAGGCTAGTAATGGTGTATCATGGAGGGCACTTGGTATTATAAAACATTACAGGATAAAACTTGGTAAATACTCAGGTCCAGAAGGAAATCCCCTTATTTTCAGCTTAGCTGAGATTTTCAATTTATTTGAATTGTGAAGTTCAAACTTCAGTTAATTCAGCATCATTCCTTGTGTTGATGCTGGCTTTGGGTTGAGTTTTTCTGTTTTATCTCAGCTGTTGATTTAAAAAGAAGAAAAAGTGATTTGGTTAATTTTACATTAAAGCGCTTGGCATTGGCACCCACATGGGAATTGGTGTTTAGTTCGAATCACGGTTGTTTAACAATTTCATGTCTTACCTCTTTGGCTAAGCACTCGACTTGATACTCCAGCAATAAACTGTCGTGTATCCCCTGTCTTTGTATAAAATAGATTGGCAGAGCCAGGTTTAGGGTATTTCTCTTCTTGCCCTTACTTATTTGAGAGAGAGCTCTGCTGTTGATGTACATAGTGAGACACCATGTAGAGACATGGTTTAGTAGTGGACAGGTTATGGTTGGACTTGATGATCTTAAAAGCCTTTTCCAACCAAAGGATTCTGTAATTTATTGACACACTCTGTCTCCAAGAATAGAATACTGGGAACCACAAACTGTCAGGGTGCTCTGCTTGTTCCATACTGACACATTTGTGGAGAACAGGTGACCACAAAGTATATTTTCCTGGATCTGTTCTGATTTGAGAACTTGAGAAGTTAATGAAATCTTGCTGAAGTGAAGCCCTTCAGCATTACTTTTGCCTGAAGGGAGTCTGCCTTTTGATGGAAGCCCAGGAACAGGAGGCAGAGCTGAGTCTTCATTCTGGCTGTCATAGGTTGCTGACCTTCATTTGTTTGCATTAATAAAACTTGCTGTAGAAGATTTCATAGCAGAACTGAACTATTATGCTGCTGTGTGACATTTTGTACTCTTTGAAGAGGGCTACCATTAAAAACTCGTTAGCAAGAGACCAGATTCTGCGTGATTTCCCCATCAGATGCTCCATAATAACCTTTCTTCCCCCACCTGGCAGCCCTGTGTGCGCTGGGGAATCTCAAAGTCGAGTTATTTCTGCTTTGCAAGCAGTCACCATGCTATCTGTGGCATTACAGCTGACCTTTGCAGCTCTGCATGCCACCGCCTGGCTTGGGACCTGCAGTTGGACCTAGCACTGCTGTTGGCAAGTAACCTGGAGGGGAGTCCTGCTCAGAGATCCATTGCGATGTTGAGTTTGCAGGGCTGATAGGCACTAAAAAAACAACGACATGGTGTCATAAAAAGGAGTAGGTAAAACTTTCCCTCGTATACAGGATGTGGTTTATGATTTAAGAGGTGCCTGTTTCTTGGAGATGCCTTTGAGAATACTCAGACTGGAAAAGATTAAACTAGAAGGAAGATTTTTCTGCTTCAGTTGATTTGGTTCAGAAGGGATTAATTTAAAGGAATACCTGTTGTCCTTACAGAATAAAAATCTAAAACTGAAACTGGTTGACGAAAATCTCACTGTGGAGTTTGTACTTCTGTTTTGGTTTTCTTTGTTGCATTTTAAAAAAGTAATTTCTCGGCTAGAAACATACACTCCCTAGGCATTTACAGTGTGTAATTCTCAGCACAAGGATAAGACATGGCTTGACATACGAAGGAGAAACTTCCAAGCCTGGGATGCAAACATGAAGCAGATGCTCTAGACAAAGAACTAGGTGGTGTGTTGAAAGCATGACAAATGAGAAACGGTGCTGACAGGTGGGCTTAAAGCACTTTTGGAAGTCACCACCTCATCTTTAATATTTGAGCAGTTTTAATTTCAAACACACACCCGTTGACTCATTCATATCCTCTTGGCTCGTCTCTCTCTGTTTTGTTCTAGGAGTATATTAAAGGTTCACAAAGATAACACATTTTTGCATTATTGCTGTTTAAGGCTTTTTGGTGTCCCTGGATGACTTCTACATACTCGGCAGTGGCTTGGTGATGTTGCAGACTACCAACAGTGTGTTCAACCAAACCCTCATCAAGCAAGTGGTGCCTGAGTCCCTGTTAGCTTGGCAGAGGGTCCGCATTGCCAACATGATGGCTGATGGTGGCAAAGCTTGGGCAGAAACCTTCTCAAAGTGCAGCTCTGGTAAGTACCCTTTCATATGAATCTTAATAAAAAAGGATATGTTCCGGCTCCCTCTTGTACCCTTTTCCTTCCCTGGGCAGGACTGGTGACTCTTTGCTCTCATACCTAGGGACCTACAACAATCAGTACATGGTGCTGGACCTGAAGAAGGTCAAGCTGCAGAAGAGCCTCGATGATGGTGCGCTGTACATTGTTGAACAGATCCCGACCCTTGTGGAATATTCTGATCAAACAAATATCCTCCGGAAAGGTAATAGCTGCTGTAGTAGTTGTTGGCTTAGGAAAGCCATCTCTTTGTGTCAGCTCATGGAGAATCATGCTTTGTACCTGGGAAGGGTTTATTGAACACTAGTGCTGCGTTTCAGGTTAGAAAGCTTTGTGTGAGCATCCCTCTCTTGCCAGGTCTATTACGTTGTATTCATTTTTCCAGTATGCTGTGGCAGAAATGTGGTGAGCATGTGGTGTTTCTTAAAAGCAGGGGAGAGAAAAATAGGCTTTACCTTGTTTCTTTCTTTTTCTTCCTTTTTTTTTCTGGTATCATTCTGCCTTGTCTAAGAGACCCAAGAGGAAAAAGGTGAGGTTTATTTGAAGCGGTACTAAATAACTGTGAAGCTGTGGGCTACTGGAAATGTTCAGAGAGTGGGTCACCCTACAAGGAGATGAGCTTTTAAATATGAGAGAAGTTCTATGTTAGATTCAGATCCTGAGCTTTTCTGGATAAACATTTGCTGTTTAAAAGACTCCCTAGCAAGACTAGCAACAACTTGATGAAAAACAAACAAACAAAATCTAGGTGAAGCAAAAGACTCACTGTCAGGCTTCATTCATGAGTGTTCTCTAGACCATTTATGTCAGCATCCAAAAGCCTTAGCTCATTCCAGAAATTTAAGTGTGTGTCTGGTGCTTTGTGCTTCCTCCTCTTATCACATGCTGAGGAGGTGAGTTGATGAATTGCTCTTTGTCATCAAAATGACTGGAAATGCATCTGTGTTAGCAGCTGGGGTTGTTTCCCTTTGGAATTTTTCTTTGTGTCTGGCTCCTTGGAAAGTGCTGGCTTATTTTAGGCATTGCCACAATGCTTTTATGGGATGTTTCTTATTGATAATTTGGAAAAAAAACATGTCTTTCCATTATGCTTCTCTGGCTCCTTTATCCATTGGAGATATTGAAGTGGGCTGTTGCACCTTATCTTCCAGTGTTGCACCTTATCTTCCTGCTCCGTTCTCGAAGGTGGCAGCGTGGCTTTTCCCAGGTACCTAAATGTGCCCTGTGCGTACTGGATAACACAGCAGTCTCTGGGAGTTTAAACATGAGAAGGACAGCCCTCAGCACACAGGGCAGGCTAAGCACTGCAGAAGTGCTGCCTTGGAGACCTCAGCTTCTGTAAGCCAGCACTGCTCCTGCAGGCGGCAGATTTGGACTCCTCTGTGCCATGCAGGATACCAGACAAGTCCTATCGAGGCCCCTGCCCTGTTCCCTGGTGCTTGGAGCAGCCCAGGTGAAGGAAGTTTGCTTTTCTTAAAGCCTTTGTAGAGTAGCTGTGACCCTGGCACGCTCCATAATTGCCTTGTAGCTGGTATACAAAGCAGGCCAGTGCTATCCTGGGGTGCACTTTTGACGCTCTTGTTTAATCAGAGTGAGTTTGCACCAGCATTGGCTTTTTAAGTCTCTTTCAAGCATAAATGTAGAAACATCAGAGCATGAGAATTGAGTTCTTGGGTGAACAAAGGCAGGTGTTGCTGTAGCTGCTGTATCTAAGCCTTATATCTGAGGAAAAAGGAAGCCTTTTCTTATCTTTTCTTTTTGAAACCCACACATTTTTTTAATGGCTTTTGTCAGTTTGTTTTGTAGGCTGGTGCAGGTCAGTTCTAAAAACCACCTATCTCTTATGTTGCCCTTTTCAGGCAAAGATGTCGAGGTGCTTTCTGTACGTTGGCAAAGAAAACTCTGAAATCCTTTAGAGGAGCTGGGGGAGGGCAATACAGTCTGCTGCTGTTCACCCCTATTAGCTCTCTGGTATGTGTGTATGTCTGTCCCTGACATCTCGGCAACAGTTAGGTCCCATCAGACCAGAGAATTTAGTGTAAAACTACATCGTTTAGGCAAGCTCAACACCCACAAATCCATGGGCCACAGTGGGATGCATTCACAAGTGCTGAGGGAGCTGGCAGATATTATTGCTCAGCCACCTTCCATCATCTTTGAAAGGTCACATAGAACAGGAGAGGTGCCTGAGGACTGGAGGAAAGCCAGCTTCACCCCAGTCTTCAAAAAGGACAGGAAGGAAGACTCAGGAAACTACACACCAGTCAGCCTCACCACCATCCTTGCAAAGGTGATGGAACAGCTCATTGTGGATGTTATCACTAAGCATGTGGAGGAAAAGAAGGTTATCAGGAGTGGTCAACATGGGTTTGCCAAGGGGAAATCATGCTTGACCAATCTCATAGCCTTCTGTAATGGTATAACTGTCTGGGTAGATGTGGGGACAGCAGTGGATGTTGTCTACCTTGACTTTAGTGAGGCTTTTGATACTGTCTCCCACAACATCCTCATAGGTAAGCTTAGGAAGTGTGGGTTAGATGAGTGGACAGCGAAGTGGACTGAAAACTGGCTGAAGGGCAGAGCTCACAGGGTTGTGATCAGTGACACAGAGTCCAGTTGGAGGCCTGGTTGTGGCTAGCAGTGTTCTGCAGGGGCAAGTACTGGGGCCAATCTTATCAATGCCTATAAATATCTAAAGGGTGGGTGTCAAGAGGATGGGGCCAGACTCTTTACAGTAGTGCCCTGTGACAAGACAAGGGGCAATGGGTACAAACTGGAGCATAGGAAGCTCAAGCTGAACATGAGGAAAAACTTCTTTACTGTGAGGGTGACAGAGCGCTGGACGAGGCTGCCCAGAGAGGTTGTGGGGTCTCCTTCTCTGGAGATACTCAAAACTCACCTGGACGGGATCCTGCGGAGCTGGCTATAGGTGAGCCTGCTTCAGCAGAGGGTTGGACTGGATGATCTCCAGAGTGTTTACCTCGGGCTGCTGCAGGTCTGATCTCAGCTGTTTTGCAGGGTGAGTCCTCAGGGTGGAAGTCTGGAGGTGGGTTCCTTGGGTCCCATCTCCAGTGGTGGTGTACTGGGAGTCAGCCCTGGTCACGCCAGTGACTGCTCCCTTATTTTCTTGTGTTCAGGCCAGTTTGACGTGTTATTCCTTGATGTGCTGTTAAGGCACTGCAGTTTATTTTCCTTATTTTGATACCAGCTTTTCAGAGTGATTAACAGATTGGGTTTTGTCTCTGCAGGTTACTGGCCTTCATACAATATCCCTTTCCATGAAAAGATTTACAATCTCAGTGGGTATGCAGCGTACGTTGAGAAGTATGGCATGGATTTCTCTTACGAACTTGCTCCAAGAGCAAAAATCTTCCGCCGAGACCAGAGCAAAGTGACCAACTTGGAAAGCATGAAGTACATCATGAGATACAACAGTAAGACACAAGTTTATGTACTGTGGGGCTGATCTCAGTAAACCAGTGTTATTTTTATTACTTGGATTATAGTGGGAAGCTGCAGCCTTGCATACAGATCAGAGTTTATATTACCCTAGGCGTGGAGTATGCAGAAAGATAACACAGGCTTAGTGAGGTGGGGAACCAGGCTAAAGTTGCTCTAACAGAAACAAGACTGGATTCCTTCGAGAACAAGGGCCTTTGGCCTTGCTGTTTGACCTTTGCAAAGAGCTTCTGATGCTCCAAGAGACTGTGGACTGCTGTTACTTAATACATCTACAACCTGTCAATTTTGCAAGCCTTAAATCCTAAGCAACAGTTAGGTCAGATCAGACCAGGGAATTTAGTGTAACACTCCAGGCCGCCTTGCCTTGTTCAGGCAAATGATCTTTTGTGGGCAGTGCTCTGCTCTGCTTTTCCCTGGCAGGGTTTTCCTTAACTGGATTAAAACCAGCTTAATGAACTCCTGGCTAAGCTCATCTCTAAGCACAGATAGCTTTAGATGCTGTATTTTTATTCCCAATTATAGGGAGCACAGTGATTACTGGCTTTGGGGTTTGGGAGGCCTCTCCCAGGGTGGGGTATGGCTACTGTTTGGGCTGTGAGTTGCAGTGTGCTCATACAGGTTGAGGCTCATCCACCTCTCCTCCTAGCTTGCAGCTGCTACCATGGGTGTTTGAAGGCTTTGTTCCTTGCCACTTATTTTAGTCCAGAACAGGAAAACAAAGGCTCTCACTGTTGCACTTCTCCCTTCTCTTCCCCCCATTCCCTTTCTCTTCTGCTTTTCTTTCCTGACAAAGTTTCTGCAAGCTTTTGTTATGGGGAGCTGCTGATGTTTGTGGCTGGAGGTTGGCAGTGGTGCCCCTGGGATGCAGAAACAGCTTCTGGACTTGGATTAGGAGCTTGTCTGCTTCATGTCCTGTCTCGAGCACTGACTTCTGGCTGGTACCTGGGGAGGAGCACGAGAGCAGTGCGACAGCCCTGTGTTTCTGCCAGGGCACTCACCCAGCTTGTAGTGGCTTGGGCATTTTGCATCAGCTTTTTGTGAGGAAATTAACTTGTTTTCTTCCTTCCTTCCTTTCTTCCCCACTACGTTTCTCCCCAGACTACCAGCGTGATCCTTATGCCGAACACAATCCTTGCAACACCATTTGCTGCCGGGAAGACCTGAATCCTTCTTTTCCAGTGCCTGCAGGCTGCTATGACTCCAAGGTAAATTACCTCTGTTTTGGTATCTGCCAGATGTTTGCTGCAGCCTGTCTGTGCTCCTCTCAGACCCGTAGTGTGTTTCCCTGCACTAGGGCAGGCAAGGCCAGGCCTGTCTGTTCCCTTTCTTCGTGCTGTCAGGGTTTGCCCAAGAGCTGACTACTTGAACTTACTGTGAACTTACCTCATTAGCATACTAAAATACCCATCTTTAGGTGAGGAAGACCCCTGCCTCATGGAAACCCACTGTCCTCTGAGCATGTGTGATAAAAACCAAGAGTACTGCTACTTTAAATGGAAGTGAAGAATTAGTTAGGTTCATATAGGTGAATGATGCCGGTATTCATAGACATAAGGAAATTTTGCAATTTTTGGTGTATAAAGAGCTCCTGTATCTCAGGGTACGTGTGGTAGCTTCATGGAGTTACCACCCAGAACCCATCTCTGCGCAGAAATACAATAGAACAAATGTCTATATCGGCTCAGTGGGTTTTTTGACTCATTGCACACCAGGTAACAATACCCTGATTTTTGGGACAACACTGAGATGGTAATTCTGTGCAGAGTCCTACCTCCTGTCCCTGACACCAGTCCCGGCACAGTGGCAGAGGATACAGGGGGAGGGATGCAGAAGAATCATGTCCATGGGCACTTGTGGTGTTTAGAGGTTAAACCCCAAAGCCTCACAGCAGGTGAAGCCCAAGGGAAGGCTGTAAGCTGAGTCTTCACATCACCTGGAGAAGGTGACAGTTGTACAGCCACAGCCTCCTGTCTGTGGGGACTGTGTGGGTGCCTCTCCAGCGCCCACAGGAATGTGTTTCTGGTCTCACTTTAGCTTTACCTTTCCGAAAGCCTGGCTCTCTGGTAAGTCACACTGCTCCAGGGCTTCACCTCTCTGCAAAACTGCTTGGAGCAAAGTTTGGTAAAGATAATTTAGCTTTCTGGGGGGGATGTAGGAAAAACCTTAGGCCCACTGTCCTGGAGAAAGCAGCAGTTTTTCTAGGCAGCTTGTGTGGTATTTTCACTGTGAAGGGGTGACACTGAGTCAGCAGCTGCCCAGCCCTGGTGTGCAGGGAAGTCATAGAGTGTTTTATCCTGAGAGATCCGGCCTGCTGCTTTTCTGGATTATGAGTTTGGCTGCTAGGATGGGCCCTGTGGGGGCCGTTTTGGCATTGCCGGTGCTGTGTGACCAGTCACTGTGCACGAGCCCAGGCCAGCTGCCTGCTGTAGTGGCCGGTAGGAGCTCCCAGAGCTGCTCATGGTGAGGGGAATTCAGAAAATTGCGGTGTAGAGGTGTCTGGTGGGAAAGCAGGTCAATGCCCACTGGCTGTGGTGCCTTTGCCAGCACAGTCAAGCAAGGGAGATGGGCTGGGGGAGGAGGACGGGGACCTAAGAGAAGTATTGAGAGAAATAGCCCAGAGCAGAGGCAAAACCTGCCAGTAAAAAACACTAAAGGTGATTTCAGTGTTTGAGTTTGGGAAGATGGAGCAGTCTGGGGTCCTCTTGGGAGATAAGGAAGGAACAGGGCAGAGTCTGGGCAGCAATATTAACTCTGTGCTGCCTTTGTCATTTCCTGCACTACCCTGACAGTGCCTCAGGGACAACCCAAGTGCCTAACACCCAGCAGAGCTTGGGTCAGACCCCTCAGCTGCCTGCTGCAGCTCCAGCTCTCTCCTGGAGACTGCAAACCCAGGGCTGCTTGTCCCAAGGGCAGAGGTGCTGCCTTTCACCCTGTACAGGGCAAGGGCTGGAGGGCAGCGTGGGCTTGTGCTTTGCTCCTGCCCTTCAGTGCTGGCTGTTCTGTGGCTGAAGATGCAACTGGCTGCTGGATCAGCGTGCATTTCCCCTTGCTTCTTCTTTACCTTACTGTCACCAGCTCTCCTGGAGCTGTTCCCGTGGGATGAGCATGTGTCAAACACCACACAACCCTTTTGTCCTGTCCTTCGTTACAGGTGTCTGATTTCCGCCTGGCTTCAGCGTTCACAGCCACTGCAATCAATGGCCCCCCAGTGCAGGGCGGTCTCCCCGTCTTCACCTGGACACGGTTTAACCACACACGACATCAGGGCCTGCCAGAATTGTACAACTTTCATTTTGTCACCATGAGGCCAATCCTGTAAAACCAGCATCAATATTCCGAAATGGATTTTTTTTTAATGGAAATTTTCATTCCTGTATGTAATAAATCGACCTGGATGTCCACATCCCTGTGCCTTGCCTGCTTTCCCCCATCTGCTAGGATGTACTGACATTGGTTGCCTTGGTGTACTGACATTGGTTGCATTGGCAGCCCAATGCGTGTTCCAAGCCAGGTGGCTGTTCTGGGGCCATGATGACCTTATCTCAGCACTGGCTTGATGTCTGCCCTTTGTCTGAGTAGCACCTGAGAGCTGTGCTGCAACTTGCTGCTTATCCAGGAATGGCACTTGTGGAGAGAATTCAGGCTGTTTTCTCCATGGCAGATCAGCCTGATGGGTGGCTTCTGGGTGGCATTTGCAAGATTTCCTTTGTTTCAATGGTCAGGCTGCAGAAGGTAATGCAGGGATGTCCTTGATGCTTTTGGAAACTGTGTCTGAGCAATGGCTCTCCTGCTGATTGACCCATGCAGTAGCTCTGGGACCTCTTTGTCTGCTCCCTCATCGGTGGAGGTGGAAGGTGACAGTGGGATGGCTGCGAGGCTGGGCTCTGTGTGTGTTACTCTGTTACCTGTGTTTTCACTGAGCAGTTGAGTCATGGAGCTGTTTTGTGCTCATGTTATACATGCAATTAAGTAAAGCAATGTAAATAGCTCTTTTCTCATGGCCTTGATGGTCCAAACTGAAGAGCACTGCTCTGTGTTATGAAGGTAAAGAATAAGCAGCGTGAGGTTTTGATCAAGCCCCTGGAGTTTGGCCTGTGTGTGATGGGAAAGGGAGTGAGTTACTGTGGCATGGGTTAGGTTCTACCCTAAATAATCTGGCTGTCACAGCAGGGCTGATTTCTTCCAAGGGAAAAGAGATAGACCAGAAGTTACACCAAAGCTTTTGCTGAAGATGAAAAATCCATGCAGGGACTGAAGCAATTTGTTTGCTGGAGCAGGAGGAGGTAAGTGGAGAGGCTGGAGAGCAACTGTGCCATGTGCAGGCGTGGGCTATGGGGGCAGGAGAGCACTGTGTGAAATGATCCTAGGCCCCCTCCCTGCCCTGCTCCAGCTGTGCTGGTTGCAGCTCCAGCCTTGCAAGGCAGTGCCCTTGATGTTTTTTGGCCAAGCACCAAATATGAACTAAGCACTTTTTGTGTAGCCCTTGGGTGTTTGCTGCTGATCACTGCCTTGAGGGACACATTTTGAGCTCCTCTTCTGGAGGCTGGCAGCTACGGAGCCACTGCCACAGCTTGAATTAAATTGGCCAGGCTGTAAAAGGCACTGAGGAGCACACTTAGAAACGGGAATGGAGCTGAGACATGAAGGGCAGTATGGAGATCTGAGCTGACAGCACCAGAACCAAAAATCAGCTGCTTGGTGAGATGGGAAGCACGGAGCGGCTGAGGGATGGCTGTTTGCTACCTGACGCAGCAGGGTGTATTTACTGCCTTCTCACCCAGTCTTCTATAAACATACTCATGGACAACTATTGCTTAAAAGTTGGTTTGCAGGAACCAGGAAATTGTGAATTGATGACCCTGTTGGCCAGTTGTTTTGCCGTGCCATTTGTAGATATGCACGGCCAGGGGAGGCTCTGCCTTTCTCCCACCTGGAGCCTCCTACCCTGTGGCAGGAGCCGCTTTGCACTCAAAGAAGCTGAGTGAAGTTTTTTTTGCCTTTGCTGGTTGTGCTGTTGAAGGTCACTGCCTTTTTAGAAGTGGGCAGGGTAGAGTTAGTTAATGGTTGGCCTTGATGATCTTCAAGGTCTTTTCCAACCACAATTTTGTGATTGCTTATTGTCCTGTCCCATGTGCTTCCTTTGTCAGGGACCGGCACCGGTTGATCTGCCAACCATGACCACAGCAGCTGGGTCCAGCTCCTACCCCTGCACAGCAACATGAGGGACCAGAGGAGAGTTGGGCTGCATGGACCTACAGGCAAGGGGCAAGAGAACAGGCAGCTTCTTAGGCAGCAGCAGAAAGTTAAAAGGTCTTTTCCAGCATTTTATTCCCCTCCACAGATCTCACTGGGGGGGAAAAAGAAAAAAAAAAGGGAAGCTGTGCTTTAAGCAGAGGATTTATGACTTTTTCACACCTTGCTTCTACATTTTTCCAAGTCCTGTGGCTTCTGCCTTTGAAATGTCAAATTTTCAAGCTTGGCTGGAAAGCGACTTGGTGGGGAGATGAAACTGGGAGGTGGTTGTGATAACTCACTTGCAATAATAGAAAGAAACCTGCTGTTCAGGCACTGGAGACTGCCCACAGAGGCAATGAATCCTCCCAGCATGACTCCCCCACAGTTACATATAATTGAAGATTTCACTTCCTTTACCATCCCCATTTTGTTTGAAATCCAGTTACAACCCCTCCCTGTGTGGGACATAGGCACTGCTGGTGCTACCTTGCATGGGCTCAGCTCTCAAAGAGGGCCAGATCTGTCACCAGTGCTGCCCCTGCAGCAGGAGACTCCCATGCAGGGTCCGTCCAGTGCCTGTGGAGGCAAAACCGCACAGGAGTGAACTTTTCTTTGCTGGGGTGCTGCAGCTGTGCTGCTGGGGCAGGTGCCTGCTTAGCCTGTTCTCGTTGTGGCTTTATTCCAGCACAAACTGCTGTCAGAACAGTGCTTGAGCACAGTGGTTACATTGTATTTTCAATGATAAAAACCAGTGGTCTAAACTTTGTGCACTATGTTTACTTTAAACAGGCAGCTTGAGAAACTATATGGCCTTTCAAGTGTGATGATTGTGTTCAGGCATCACTTCACAAGAGTCCATCTTTTGGTCAGTGACTTCAGGCAAGTCCCAGTGAGTGCCAGAAGACTGATCATTACCATCACAAATTAATTATGGGCTCAGTATTAATTCAGGGTCAGTATGCCAGTAACTCCGACTCTTAAGTATTTAGAGTATTCTACAATTGAGCAGCGGAATTGAGTTCAAAATGTAGCTTTTACCATTGTGCCTCCGTGTAAGGCAGGTGATGGGTTCTCAACTTCAAGCAGTTCATGATGCTGTACCTGGCTTCTACCCTTGAAAGCAAGGGGGTAGACACTTTTCTGGTCCCTGCACTGAAACAGCCTTTTTGTTACCCTTGATTTCATTATCTTTGACTGATGCAGTTCTGTGCACAAGAGCTTTCCTCCTGGCTTGGGCAGCACGGCCAGTGGGACACACTGAGACCGCTGCTGCAGCCTCAAGGCTCCAATGCTTAAGGGTGCTCCAAAAAACCCACAGGCAGCTCCTGTACCTTGTCCAAAGCCTCTTGCTAAAAGAGCGAGCCTTGTTCCAGAGACCAAACCCAGCCCTCTTGGAGAGAGAGGAGAGCAGCACCAGC